CTCCAATTTTGCTTGGAACCAAACAGACCATGAATAGTCAAAAGTGTTATGTGTTCATTTTTCACGTGGGGTTCTGGAGGGTCGTATCGATCAAAAGAGAGCTTTACAGTTTCTTGAGATGTTGCCGCGGATGTATGTTTGGTAGATGTTCTAATTGCGAATGAATTAACGTGTCTAAAATTTTTCCTGAAATTAGGCAACGAATTGGAACGTAAAATCGAAAACCTCGAAAATGCCATTTCTGTATTCTAATCACCGAAACGAGTTTAAATAATTTCATCATCACGTGATAACAAATAAAGCAATAAAATATAATATTGATTAAATATTGTTTATATTATTATTATAAATATCATAAAATTAATTTAAGGATCTTACATTCCCATAAAATTAAAAAATTATCTTTCAATAAATAAATAACGTAGTTATAGATAAACTTTAAACGCATGTTATTTTTTTATAGAGTATTAACATGTGCATTAAATTTACGATTAGCATCTTTGACTTTCTACGTCGCGAGACCAGTTTGCATATTTTCGAGGTGTCATTTTATTATTGACGTAATGGAAAGCAAAAATTCTTTCGGAGAAAAGCTTTTGGTTCAATTTCCGCAAATGCAGATAACTTTTTAAAAAAGTTATAATAAATAATGAACGGAAATTGAAACATTTTGAAGAGAATGAGAATAAATAAGTATAAATAAACAGAAGCTACAAAAAAAAAAGTAAAAATACACGAAATTTTTAAAAATACAAAAAAAAAATAACTAAAATCTCTTTTCTTTTTTTTCTAAGTGAACAAAGAATCATACTCATTCTGGGAATTGTATAATTTTAGAGAAAGGTCTAAATAATATCTACAAAATGTCCTAATGTACAAAAAAAGGTCACATCAAGTGAACTATGGAAAGTGAATGAAGTCCGATTTAGAATTCCTTTTTAAGGTTCTCGACACATTTTCGTTTACACAAATCCCAGGATGTTGTTACCGACGATGCAATAGATCATTTTTCTTTTTCAAGAATTGTTGCAACATCAGGGTCAAATGGGTGCCTGACAAGCAGATCGTACAATTTGTCAGGTATTTTTTGAGCAAGCTGGACGGTCAATTTTATTATCTGTTTCGCGTTTAGCTCGGGCATTGTTCTTAGGAGTTTCATTGGGCTAAAATTTCCAATCAGTTAATTTGTCAGTTGCGAACCAATTAAATAACATATGAATATGTGTAATTTAAGTAACCTTGGCGCTTTCAATAATTGCTTTCTCATTAGGATAAGCTGAGCTATGACGCAGAGAACATTAAGGTGAACACCGTAAGCAAGAAGAAAATCCCATAGCCTTAAAACTTGTTCAAGCGGAGGTGTGCAAGCGCACAGTGTAAGTATGGCTATTTTGATGAGAATAAAGGAAATATGAATGAATGAATTTATATAATATAACATTATACCAATTAATTAAACACCTACACGATAAGGCATATATCTCCGCTTTAAGACATTTAGATCTTAAGTAATTGAACAATTCAGGGTCAAGTATTTGCAAGCATTTGTCCAAAAGCTGCAGTCATATACAAATGAATTAGACTATGTTATTTGATTTCTTTAAAAGAAAAGATTTACAGACCTTTAGTCCGCAGTGAACGCCTTGAAGGGTTGGTGTGACATACAAGGGGCAACATGTCTGAATAAAGGTTGCAAACGAGAAAAATGCATCTATTTCAGACATGGTAAATAGAAAGGGTGCAACGAGGACGTTCATTCCTTGAACATATGTGACCGACTGGCCGTTACAACTTGAAGATGCTGAAGATGATTTAGAAAAATAATAAGTTGAATATTTATTAGAATAACATAATCGGCGAATTTCGCACTTACATTTCATTTTCCAGGCAAAAGCATTTAGTACACGGATTAACATTTCCTCGTTAACCTTTTCTAGAAATTTCTTGTCTGTTGCAAGAGTTCTAAAAGTATCATTTCGAACTTTATCATATACACATGACCTCCCCTTGTTTATTAGTTGAATGTACTCCCTAGCAGAAACATGATAAACCCCAAGAAGGTGTTTCCAGACTCTGGAACGCAGGGAATTGAGGGTCAATTTTGGAAGATCCTGCTTGTTAATGAAAATCATATGCTCAAAAAATTAGCCAACGCGTGGTCAAAATTGTGATGAAAATATAACAGTTCGTGTAAGTACCTCCTCGGGTAATCCCTCGGTAAGAATCACCCGTCTAAGCTTTGATAGAGAAGCTCTGACTTCTCTTTCAGTTCGATGACTTGTATCTAATATTTCTTCAAACGGATTGGATGACTTATCAACCTGATGACGTTGCATAGGTGCATGACTAGAAACTGGAGTAACACTTTTATATTTTGTCCAAGCAAAAGAGTGCTGACCCTGTGTCGGCGAATTATTTTGTGACCTTGCTTTAACACACTTTGTTTCTGTTGCGAAAGGCTTATTACTGGTGTCCTTTAGAGGAACCCCATCTTCTGTGTTTGTCTTCATCGTGTGAGAGTTTAGATTCGGAGTGGAGTGTCCAAATGAATCTTTATAAGGCTTTTGCATTAACAAGTTTGATGGTTTTTCTTGTAGAGCGCTCCCGTACGGCGATATGTGTAATGAGGGTGGAAGAACGATTACAGGAGCCATGTCATAAGAAGGGATAATTCACAATTGACTTGCAAAAGGAATGAGGATTGTGACAACGTCGAGATTAAAAGAAATGATGTCTATTTTACAAGGATGCAACGGAATATATAGTAAAAGTACAGTATATTTATCGACGAAGGGTCTTATTCTATAATATCTTTTTTTTTGTTCTTTTGGTTCATGAGTTTTGTCGTTCTACGCAAAGGGTTCTACATTGTTCTTTATTTATTCTAGTAGTACATCAATAATAGGTAAAAGCTGTACAACTCTCATAAAAGAGGATTAAGCATTGTGTGTAATGACACGTGATATTTTATTCACAAGATCACCAGTTTTTAAGATTATTGCTTTATTCAACTATATTTAAATAGTGTCGAAATAGCAACGTACTGTATATCTTTTTTTGATTTATTATTTATATAAATTATGCACTTTAAAGGTTTAAAGCTAACCAGGTTTTTAATCATTCGTTTTGCATTAAACAAAATTCACGATCATTAAATTTATGAAAGGAATCAATAATTTGAATCGATAAAAAAAAAAATACTTTGATTTATTTATTTATTTATTTATTTTAATTAACAATAAAAAATTATTATTATTTTTTTTTGCATAAAATTATAAGTTATAATTTAATAACAATTTTATTAATGCAATATTTTTTATAATTATAATATACAGTATAATTTTATATAATTATTTTAATCAATTGATTTTTTTTTCTTAATACCATAAGTAAATATTTTTTTTTTTATTTGATTTATATTATACAAGATATACTGTATATTATAAAAAAAAAATAACATTTCATATACATAAAATACTATATAATAAGTTAAATATTAATTTGCTTATAAAAATTAAATAATTAATATTAAAAAAAATTTTTTTTAAAACAATATAATCTATTGAATATTTATAAATATTTATTAAGATTAAATAATAAAAAGTTAAAATAAATAGGAATTAATTAAAAAATATAATTAAAAAGATTATAATCATATTAAATAATAATAGTTGTAATTATATAGTGCAAAATATCTTAAATCAATAAATAAAAAACAAATTTAAAAAATTCTTTATTAAAACAAAAAATTAAAATATTTGCAAATTTTTTGTTATAAAAATATATAAAAAAATAAAATTTATAAAACTATTTATTGATTTTTTAAAATTTAATAGAATTAAATATTTTTAAAAGTCAATCATTTTTATTAATTATTATTAGTAAAAAAATAAAAATTTGACTAGCCCTCCAAATCATGTAATTTGAAATATATGCTTGTAATTGGTTAAATAAAACTATAAAATATCAAATTTTCTTAATAATTTTTGTTTTCAAAGTAAATAAATTATAATGATAATGATATAATACTTTAGTAGTATAGTTAATAAGCCAATTGGCAGATTTCAAGAAGAGTAAATATTACTGTCTTTTGACTGCTACTGTTATAAGTTAGTAATTAAATATTTGTTATTTCTCTTGGTTTTAAACAAACCTAATTTATAAAAGTTATCTTTGCTTTAAAATTTTAAAATCAGATGATTAATCAATTTTATTTATTAGTTGTTCTCTATTGTTAATATTGATCAGTAAGCTTATCACCACTTCTAATACAATTATATCACCATAGTCAATCTAATATTGAAAAAAAATATAAAAGGTAAGACGAAAGATGGTTTATAATTTAATAAAGTATTTTTTTATTGATATATCATGACTTTATATATGCTTTGATTTCTTTCTCTCTTCTATCATCATTATACTTCCCTATTTATATATACTTTGATTTCCTTTTCTCCTCTATTATTATTAAACTATTATATCTATTTATTATTATTTATTACTATTAGGTCTCACAATACAAAATTATATTATTGTAATTGCAATCAAAAAATTCTATTCCTAATACTATTAAAATAAATATTACATATTTATCATTTTAAGTGACTTTATTTATTTTAAGATCAAACTATTTATTATTTCGTTGTAAAACTATATATATAACTATTAATTTCTTATTATATTTACATCAATTAAGATTAAATCTGGAATATAACAATATAATTGATATTTTTTTATTGCATATTCAGCAGCTTCTTTAATTAATTCTTTATAATATGCATCTATATATTTAAAAAATTTTTAAGAATATTATTTAATTTCACTTAATAATACTAATATAAGAATTTGTAATACTGTTCTTTTTAAATCTTCCCAAGTATAATCACAATAGCTTTGCAAATATTATTTTGCAGATTCCAAAAATTTTTAATGTAATTTAATTTATAATAAAATTTCAAATAAAATATAATTTCATGACCTGTAGAAATAATTGCTTCTTCAAGTTTTCATATTGTATCTTAAAATTTGGTTGGTTTGCTATTGTTGTTCTTGTATAATAATTAATGCTTTCTTTCTATATTTTCTTTTACATTTCAACATTATTTCATTATGCCATAAGCTTCTTTCTTTTAAAATTTCTTTTAAATCTTTTGGTTTGTCATACAATTCAGAAATTTTGTAATCTATAAAAAAATATATATATCTTGTCTAATATTATTTCCATATGTACTTCTATATATTTTATATAAAATATAATTAATATTAAATAAAAAATTTTAAAATTTTAATTTATACAAATCTCATTTTTGCCTGTTTTTTGCCAGGTAACAAATTCATATTTCTTGCTAAAAGAATATTATCTGTATATGCAGCATAACTAATGGCATTATTAAATACAAAAAGGACCTTTGCACCTGAAAAATATGCTTCAAATATTAAAATTATACATTTCACCACTTGTTTCACAAGATTATCAGAATTTCACTATTTATTACTATTTTTTTCTGGATATATTATAACATATACTTTTATTGAAATATTGGAAAAAATATTTTAAAAAAACTTTAATTAGTATATCTTACTATAAAAAGGATAATAAAACTTATATATCTTGTCTTTTTCATATAATGTCAAATATCCAACTATATTGATAAGAAAATCATTTACATGAATAAATTATTCTTGACCTTTCTTATGAAGTGATAGTTTCTAGGACTTTTAATGATATCATTTCGATACTTATTCAATACCAGTTCAATATTTAAATTTATTATAAATTCATATGAGTGGATTATAACCCATATATTAAATTTACTATAGATTAGTACTATTTTGATACCACTTTGGTATTAGTTTGATACTTTTCGGAGCCCTAGCTGTTCTCTTTTTAGTTTCTATAACTGATATTTTTCATAATATGCAGAAAAAATATATTTGTCATGTGTTATCAAAATTATAACTTAATCAATATTTGACTAGGTTTCTATTTTTATATTTTTATCAGAAAAATTTTTAACTTCTGAATATTCAAATCTAAACTTTTTTTTTCATCTGCAAGCTGTTCTTATATTTATTGTTGATAATGGATCGAAATAAACTTTAAAAAGTATTTTTTTATTTATATAATTTGTCAAATCTTTAGAAGAAATATTTCATTTATTCAATTAAAAAAAAGATTTAATCTGCAATAAGACATCATCATTTCATAAAAAACTCCATGTCTTTAGATGTTTTCCTTATCTCGATACTGAAAAAGTATTATTTTAAATGTAATTTGATATCTATACTTATATAAAATAAGAACAATAAATATTTTTTTCAATAGCTTTAGCTATAATGATACTGGCTTTAATTTTTCTCTTGCCATAATCTATAAAACAAAGGTAAGATAATATTATATTGAAATGAGCACTTTTTATATTATTATAATTATTATTTTTAATCTTATTTTCTAATTGTTTGATAATATTTTTCAAGTCTATATAACTTTCAGTTTCTGAATCAAATTCTATTTCGATTTTATTTTCAAAAGAATTATCTAAACTGAATATATCCATATCTATAATTGTTTATTATAATTTTTAAAATAAGTTTTAATTTATTTTTATTATTATTTTTTTTTTTTACATCTAATCAGGCCATATATTCAAGTTTTATTTACATTTAAACTAGTTTGAAAACTATTGGGTTCGAACTGACCCCAGGTACAAATGGGTAGACATCCAGTGTCTGACAGATCTATATTATAGGTTAAACTTTTTTTACTATATACGGCACACCCGTCAACAGCCAATGGCCTCTAGATGTGATTAAGGGGAATGAAAAAAGTTGCTCTATTTTGACTCACGTTTCTTGTGGATCTCAATATCATCGCCAGCTCTTCATCAACTGTTTACCCCAACTTAATCTCTATGGTCCTAAAGTATAAAAATTTTTATTTTTTCAAGAAGGTAAAAGGGAAAGGTAAAGGGGAAGAGAAAGGTTTGCACTGGTAAAATAAAAACCCAACAAAACCACCAGCCTAATGAGAGCCTTCTTTGATCTTGAGGAGAAAAGAAACCAGCACAAG